TCACGCAGGAATGAATGAATGGCTGGGCGCTGCCTCTTGATTTATACTTCAGAAATTCGTTGGTCTGCCCTTTACCTTCGGCCCTTGGTGCTCACAGTCCCCCTGTGGTACTTGCTGGACTGGACTGGGACTCTCTAGACCCTTCTCCTGACTGTAGGCAGTCGTACCATCGACTCAGTGCAGTTGCACTGAGGTCCTACCTGTTGACCTTGCCACTTGTCTTCGTCTGAAAAACGTGGGCCTACCTTAGACTCACCACTTGACCACTTGCCGACCTTCTAGAAGGACTAAAGCTAGGCCTCTGGACTCTACTTGGACTCCTACCTTACAGGTCTACAGTTCGAATCTCCCTACAGCCTACAACCGACCTACTTACCACTGGCTATCGTGCAGGTCACGGGTTCAACTCCAGGCAAACGTGCGGATGCTGTACACAGGTAAGCTGAGGTCAAAGGATCGACCCCTGGGATCTGCATCGGCTATTGCCAAAGGTGAAAACTGTTTCAGACACACCCGAAGGGAAAGAAGAGAAGAGCGATGACTCGGACGAAGAAGGGAGTAAGCTACGGGTCAATGGCGGTAGCAACTCTGGGGGCACACGTCAAGAGAGTGGTATTATCGAATACATGCCGCAACGACTGGATCATTATATGGAGATGAACGGGAAGAAGGTGAAGACTCTTTGTCTCCAGAGGAATGTGAAGTGGGCGAGGAAAGATAAGTGCGCATGGGAACTCGCGAAGCAAGATACGGAGGAATTCACCAAGTTGATCAACGGCGACGACGCCGCTGAGGCGGATGCTGAAACAGAATCGGGCCACGAGGAGCCGGATGAAGCTGGGACTGATGGCAACGACTCTGAAGATGTGTCGGGGAACTAATTCCCTCGAAGCGCAGTCTACTTCGTACCTTGCGCCGGATCAGTGACGTCCTCCCTAGATTCGATGGGAGAGCTAGAGTCGATCTCGAGACGGCATTTAGAATTGGGACTATTCTCGCATGTCTCCTTGGTTTTCTCCAATGGGGATCAACGTTTACGAAGTATTGGGGTCAAACCGATAGGAATAGATTCCTATCTCTGAAAGACACTGCTTCTTGTGTTGATGTGCTTATTTCCCCATTCTGTAAACAGACGTACGTGGGACAGACCGGGCGCTGCTTGCATGAGAGATGGCAGGAACATGTGCGAGCGTCCTTGGATAATCCTACCTATAAAGTGCATAAATGGCTGAATAAGATGAAGCCAGAACCGTACTGTGCTATCCCGATCTGGGTAGGTGAAAAAAGCGATTTACTTGAAATTGAGAAGAAAATCATTTGCGATGAAAATCCTGGTTTGAATGCAAGGAAAACGAAGAAAAGACGGAAACCACGAAAGGTAAGGAAGAAGATGGAAAAGAGAATAATTACGGTTCAGCAGAGTGAATGGAAACCCATTGTTTTTTCGTCCGATAAGCATACCACGTGCACTAACCTGATGAGAGTGTTGAAAGCAGCCAAGGGCACAAAAAGACCCGTGCGCATTACTAGTGAAGGTGGTAACAAATGGGGGACGACATGGAGACTGATTAAACTTGTATATGGAGACTCTAAGCTTGAAGATGGGGAGGGGTGCTATGTCCTTAAGGACATGAAGACTTTGTTCGAAAATGGGGTTGCATGGGATCTAACCTGTCTGGTACGAACGGAATCCGAATCTGATCGTAAGAAATCTGAGCTGATCTCACTTCTGCGAGCTCCGTGGAAACGGCGAGACATTCTGAAAAAGGATACAGTCGAATTGCTTGGGATGCTTAAAGGGCTAAAGGCAATCAACACGAAGCGCGGTAGACAGATAATCCGCTCACTAATATCGACGGAACTAAAGAAAAGAATTGGGTTTAATCCACGGCAAAGGATAGTCGTCAAGAAACCATTTTGCCCATCGATTGATAAAAGTTGTGTGAGACGATAATTTTGTGGATGGTTAGGTGAAAGGATTAAGATACCTGAGCTCGTCGACCTGATGCAAAAGAAACTACGAGTAGTCTCGACTAAGGCCAAGACTATTGCTGATCTTCTGCATAATCATAAGATGGCTGCTGCTGATACGAATCAGGAATGCTCTTGCCATCTTTTTTATCTGACCAAAATTGAAGGGCATGTTCGGGTTCGCCTCAACGAGCTACAGGATGTCAACCCCTTTCTCTACAACTCGAGGAATGTGTCGTACCCGGGAAGAATGATGGACCTGAGAACTGTGAATGAGGCATGCCGCACTGCTTTGAAAAATGTACGTGGTCTCGTGATTAAGGACGAATTTAGGATCTCTCCGCTGAAACTATAAGAAGAATTGGCCCTGGGAACTTGCTGGATGGTGCTGTTCCCTGTGAATGCGTTCTAGGAGTGAAGGAGGCCTTCTCTGGCCTTATTCTTTCTCCCCTGGATCGTAATCTGGGAGCAACGTTGATCGAATGCCCTACACTTCACAGTGCAGGCATGAAAAAAACTTTCAATGGTAACCCTGACTTTGAGGTCATAAAAAGATCTGAGAACGACGTCTTGTGCTCAATGAGGAAAGAATTTAAAAGGCTGAAACTTGATCGAGTGGGAAGGTGGGATTGCAAAGGAAGGATCCAGAACACATTCATAATGAGTAAGGACAAAGATTTGGATAAAAAGAGGCCCATCTGTCCATCATTCGCGCACCCAGCTAGGTTTGCGGCAAACAACCTGGTCAAAGTATTGAACTTATAAAGACTGAGAGACATGGTCACTTCAATCTTGGAGCTGGCCGAGATCTAAAAGGGTGCCTGAGTGCGGTCAACCAGAGAATAAAAAATGATGGATTGGATGTTATCATACGCACGTAAGACGTCAAAGAAATGTTCTCCAAAATCCCTTAGGATGAGGTTAGGAAAGCAATAAAATGGATTTTTGATAAACAGAGAAGGAAAGGAAGGTACTGGGTTCGTATAAAGACTCAAGGGAAAGGGGCTGTCCTTGGGAAATCTGCAGGCGAAAAAGGGTGGAAATCATTCAGATTTTGGGATCTTGAAGTACTCACATCCTTTTTGCTTGATAGTTTTTTCTTCCAGTCTGTTGGATGTCTGCTGAAGCAGAACAAAGGGATACCAATGGGGGGGCAGGCTAGCCCACCCCTGGCTTCGCTTGTCTGCATGTATGCAGAGAATTGTTTTTGGAGTCACTAGGTAAGGAAAAGAAACGCTTATTTGGAAAAAGATATGTCGACGACTTACTACTTTTGGGGTTCTTCAAAACAGGTGATGATACAGACAAGGCAATAACAGAAGCACAATTGAACCAGATCACCAGTTGTTATAACAAAGAACTCCGTCTCGAGAGAACTGATGGCGACCTCAACATCGTTGATTTTCTTGAGACTAGAATTTTTGTGCTGAATAATCCTACGGAAGTTATTTCCATGCATAAGTTTAAGAATGGTGAGAGCATATGGGTCAACCCGAAGGCACCCAGGTTCATGGTCACAAGATGGTACCAGTCATTTGGGCCAAGAGAACAGAAGTTTGCGAGTATAATTGGTACCTTACACAGGGTGGTCAGCAACACCAGCACTGACACGCTGGCTCGTACCTAAGTTCTTACAGGTGACTGTAGTGAATATGGTGAAGGCATAGTCTTACCGCATCAGTAATGGTGGAAGGTCGAGGTTCGAAGGGTTCGGTTGTTCGCCGATGAAAGTGGTAAACTCATTGCCGTGTCTACCGCTTGGACTAATTACACAAAGGAGTGGGTTTTCCCACGGAAACAATCCTGTCTGCTTTTCGGAAGTTCGCAAAAAGGGTGGGAGGGAGGGTTTTGATGGATTTGGTTGAAAGGCTCGTTAATTGGTATAGGGAACATGACGGGTAGGTACCCTCTTTCCAAGTGTGAGGGAAATGAAGACTCGCGCTGCGAAGCCAGACAATGGAATCGAAGGCCTGCATCTGCCAGGGATTCAGCAGGGCTCAAGCGACAAACAGGACCAAGCGACTGACGACAAAAGACCATGGAACCGGCGACCCGAGGCAGATCCGAGCGGGCGATTGCCTGCACCGTAAGCACTTGTCGGAGTTGTATCCTAGCGAGTGCTTTTCTCAATGTGTTTTTTCGGACTGTTTTTTGTTATTATATTTTTATTATTATTATTATTTCTGCACCGCAGGAAAATTGTCCTTATTGCGAGGCCACTGCCTCTATGAGCCCATTCGGCCGCCCTAAGTGAAGGCTGGCTCGACGAGGCCCCACAGGGCCTTATTTCGGCCTCTGCGCAACTATGGAAATTCAGGCTGTTGCGCAGCGCCAGTTGGTTGAGAGAATCCAGGCCCTGGGCCGCCTGTGTGAATGTATGGAAAGCAGGCCCTGGGCTGGATACGGGTACTGGGCCAAACACATGCAAAGGCAGTTGGGTGCGTGCAACCACCTCAGGCCCCAGGCCTGTTCTCGATCGAGCTGGGCCTCAGGCTACCGGGGCCTACTGGAAGCTTCCTGGGACTGGACGCAGGCAGGCCACTTCGATATAGCAAAGGGCCTGCCTCCGCATTCCTCATTCGGGTGCTGGCTGCATGCTGCGCTATTTGCTGGCTGGCGCCTACGCACTCACGGGTGAGCAGGGAAGGAGCAGGCAGCCATAGCCGAGCTGCGCTGCTGTAAGCTGGGTGTGGCGCAGGGTGGTCCTTGGGTGCAAGTGGCATCTGTGTGTTGGGGAACGAGGTTGTGAGTAAGGCGAGAGACATACCTGGGGCTGGAAGCGTGCGACATTGGTCGCTGTATGCTCGTACTTCGGGAGAGCTGTTGTCGTCAACTTCGGCATTGTAGTATAGGCTAGATAGGATCTGCCACAAGTAGTCTGGGCACCGAGCGCCAGATAGGATATCAAATCTGGTTCTTAGTTGATGATGATGATGGGACTTTTTCAGCATTGTCAATTATGAACTCTTGGTGTGTTCTTATTTGGTGAATCTCGTGATGCAATTCTGCTGTTGGTTCAAGGTCACGACTATCTGGACTCATATGTATGATGCTGTTTGATTGCTGAAGTTCGCTATTGCTCATCTTCCTTGCAATTTGGTATCGGAGCTGTGGTACGATTGCGCTCATCTGGCGCTTGTCTTCTGCGTAATGTGGTACATACATGCGGTCTGATTGGCGAGTTTGGCCGTAAGTGGTGTGTAGTGAGGAGGGCGGAGGCGAGTGATAGGCGACCCAGGAGGTGAGGGGATCACCAGGAAGGCTACGAGATGTGTAATGTGGTCTGGACAGTGTGATGAGAACTATCTAATGTGCGATTGGTGCTGAGGTGGAACGGCGTGCAATGCTGGTTGTGCCGAAGCAATGATTGGTCATCACAATCGGCATTTGGTCATCTGGTGAGATTATCTCTGTGGTTGGGGGCAGCTATTTGAGGTACGTTGCTCTTAACCTTATCTACCCTCTCCGACACTTCTTACAGTGAGGTTGTGTGTTCCTTCTTGAGAGTCCTCTCATTGTGAGGTGTCGAGTGCGCGCAACCTTGAGAGTCGACAATGTTCATGTGGAGCATCTGGGAGAAGATGGGCGGAGCTTTCTGAAGGGCCCTGGACGAAGCACTGGGTCACGGTCACCATGCCAACCCATCGGGAGTAGAGCATGCATGCTTTGCTGCTTGTCCTTTGTTCGGCTTGCTGCGCTGTTCGATGGGTACTGAAGGGCAGGCCAGCCCTTAAGGGAGACGAGACCGGGCGTCTTTAAATAAGCACTGGAAAGGGGAACCATTGGCTGTGATCATCGTCCGGCTGCGACGTAAAAGAATTCCTGGAGTCACTTGGGGGCGGACGTTCAATTGCCTCTGGATCAGCCAATGGTTGTAAGGCTCGCTGCACGCGAGGATAATCCAGTGCAGGGCTGGCCAGCTCAGCAGATACTCGGGGCACAGGGGTGGGCCGGACACACACCTTTAGACACGCGATGCTCTCCAGATTGCTCAGGGACGTTGACGTCAAGTGATACTCAGGGGAACTAAGGGAGGGGTAAATTCCAGGTGATAAGTTCGAGAAAATTCCATGCTGTCCTATCCACACAAATGATTCTATTTTTATGTTTTGATTAGTTAGGTGTACAGCCATTGACATCTGACAGATAGCATTAGTTAGAACAGTTTCTTGTTCATGGTGCTTCTGTTTGCGGACTAGTCAAACTAAAAATAGTTTTATTTGTAGGAATCTGACTTGCTTGTTGACCCGAATGTAAAGTCTCTGAAATAGCCACCAGTTAATTGGTCTGTGCACTAAGCTGCGGTAGGCATCTAAAGTGCACTAGTGCAGATTGTCTACAGGGCTGTAGGTTATGAGCGACGAGGAGGACACTAGAGAGGACGACCGGATCTTGCGATCGGCAAGGCGCCCGATTGCCCACTTGGCATTAGGACCAGAGGGTGACAGGTACCTGTTCCGCCAGCGTAGAGGTAGGTTGCAGCAGCAGAGGAGGGCTAGGGCAGCAGAGGCTAGCAGGGCACTTGTGAGTGAGGCCGCAGCTTCGGAAGCCATGGCCACTTCTGCACAGCAGACTACTCAGGCCGGTAGTTCAGGGTCTGTCGGGTCAACGGTCGCGCAGACCCAGAGTCAGTCCACTGGCGTAATGGCAAGCCAGCCTATAGTGTTGACTCCTGACGAGATCGCCATACAACAGGCAGCACTGTAGGAGGCACAGCTACAAAAGGCATTAGGAGAGACAAGTGGACCCGCCGCAGCAAAGCTGCGGCATAGAGGAGGGGGCGGAGATGAAGAAGGGAGGGAGTGAGAGCGAGGAGATGTTCAGAGAGTGTCTCTGTTATTCAATTCATTCAGAGTCACAAAGCAAAAAAACAAAACAGAAAAAAGAAGAAAAGAAGGAGGGGATAGCGATGCAGGGCGGGTGCGGGAGCAGACGGTGGGGGAGCCGGGGTGATTGTGCGATCAGGGCAGAGTCGGGGGGAAGTGGAGCGAGGCGGAGCGGACTAGGGTGAAAGCGGGCTGTAAGGATGTCGGGATCGGAGTGGGG